CGCTCTTTGGAAAAGACATCAAACAGTTTTTAGTATTCGCTAACGCAACAAATCCAAACGCAAAAATGTTCAACCTTCACAAAGTGGTAAGGAGAGCACAAGCCTTGCTGGCAGCGCTCATGGCCTAAAGGATATCTACTAATTATATTTTTCTATAGCTCATCGTCTTCGCCGCCTTGGTGTGCATCGCTACTGCCTACCCAAGCATCATAGGACCTGCCATCGTCCCCGGTCTTGCCTCAACTGTTGTTGTGGGACCCGTCGGACCTGTCGGACCAATTGTAGGTTTGGGTCATGGTGGCGTTATTGGACACCCTCATTTACTTGGTTAAATAACTACTTCTGAACAAAAATAATTGAACTGCCAACATTCCCAACTGGAAAACCTCTTTGCACTGCTGCTCATAGTTAGTTTTTCTCATTCTACATCACTTATGGAACCACAAATGTTAGGAATTTCGCAACTTTAGTATATCTTTGTGTCTCGTTCGTTGTACTGTTGCGTACTCCTTTATTAACTATCTATAACTTTTTTGTAAATAGGTATTTTTTGTTTCAATTTGATTTGAATAAATATGCAATAAACCAATTTAGAATGTTTAATGTTTTATGTGAAGTATACAGACCCTTTCTTTTTAACTGCTTTCTAAAACAATTTCTAATGCGTGTAATGAAATAATAAGTTCATTGGAGTATTGCTAATATCCGTAAACATCTTAAATATTTGATTAAAGCTTAGGATTTCACATCAATCAGATTTCCTTTGTGTGGAGACGATAGGATAGATATAAGTATGTAGGTGGTGTACCTGAAATCTGTGTTCAAAAAATTCCTATTGGCTGGCAAATTGTTGTTGCTGAAGCGGTTATAGTCACCCTATTTGGATTGTCACCGAGATCAGCTAACGGTAGACCCAAGAAACGTGCTGTTTCAACGGAGTGGGACCAAAAGTAGACTCATTGGGTTAAACTGCGGAACCCCCCGTTTAATTCCTCTTAGCTTAAAAATCTGACCTCGAAAATGTACTGATAATTGCCCTTCGCTCCGATAAATCATAGTTCACCTCAGGAGGGAACGTAGATTGTTCGAAGTATTTTAGTAATATCTTGTTATTGACTATGTCAAAAAAATTTTATTTTAGGTCTAGAATTATCTGGACATTTATGACGAAATGTGATCTGGTGGTGTTGTGCACTGAAACCTTTTGATGGTCTGCTAAACTCAGATGTTGAATTATGATCGGCAGTAACCACAAGTACCTTCAATGCTGGGAAAGAAAAGTTATGAAACGAAAAACTTGGCTAAGTCGGCAAGTTTCTAAGATGTCTGTAAAGAGACCACTCTTCCTACTTTCCACACATCGGATATGTGAAGAGAGGCAAGTGACATATTGAGGAACTTGGTTAGATATTTTACTCCCGTCAAGCCTAGATGCTTCAGCATCAACATGTTTATACCGTCCCACACTTTCGAATTTGTCATTTAAAGAGTGCAGTGTTAACTATCCAATTGGACCTAGACTGTAGTCCAGAGGTTACTTACTCCGTTGAAGAGGCTACAAAACTTATGCGAGGATCTTACGGATTAGCTTGGTGGAAAGAGTCGCAGTTTTGTGCTGAAACTGCTGCTTAGATTTTTCAAGCCGGAATAAAGAACTCTAGTGCCTAGTCGAGCCTCTTGGAACCGTAGATGTTCTTCGTTGGCCAACTGGAATAGCGCACTGCGCTAGAGTTCCAATTGTGTTTTGGCAGTATGTGATCTCATACCGTGTAGTCCACTCTAAACAGAGTTAGATGGTAGAAATAACAGCATAGAACGCATAAAATGCAAGTCAATTGCAGTAACGTGGAACCAGCTGAACTGCTGAAGCTGTCCATTGCTTCCGCTGATCAAGTAAGCGGTGTGGTATTGTTTCACCTATTACCACAACCCATGTCGAAAATGCAGCTACATATATGTTTTCAGTATTTTGTATATGTAGAGACGATAAAAACTAAGCATTGCTAGAGAACGCTCAAACTACTTGGCGTTGACTGGTTCTTAAAATTCTGCAGTGTTTCAACGTGCCCGATCAATCATAGATTCAACGAAATGCTAATGCTGATCATAAGGTTCTGTTCCCTAAGTTCTTTGAAAACTCGGTGTAGGTGGTTTTAATGATCTCTCCTGAAGTGGATGCAATACATGCATCATCGAGATAAACAAACATGAAGTTTAAACTTCGAAGAACTTCGTTAATGAACCTTTAAAATTTCTATCATGTGTTTAAATTTTAATGTCTTCTTTACTTATCGACACTTAGTAGAAAGCCTTTGCTGAATCGATTTTTGAAAAAACATGTTTTCTAGTAAAAACGTTGGAGAAATCGCATAAATGGTAACGAGTAACGAACACTTACTGCATTCAATCCTCGACAATCTCATGTATGTAAGTGTTATCTGAAATCTTTCTGAGATTTACGAAACGTGGTTCGGGGTTCCGTCCTGCTATATGGTGCAGAGGCTTTGACGATGCCAACAACTGATGATTCGACGTTACGAGTTTTCAAGAGAAAAGTTCTGCGTTTATGGTCCTTTGCGCGTTGACCACAGCGAATATCGCATTCGATGGAACGATAAGCTGTATGAGATATATGCCGACATTAACACAGTTCAGCGAATTAAAAGGCAGCGGCTACGCTGACTATATCATGTTGTCCGAATGAACGAAAATATTCCAGCTCTGAAAGTATTCGACGCAGTACCCGCCGGGGTAAGCAGAGGAAGAGGAAGACCTCCACTGCATTGGAAGGACCAAGTGGAGAAGGACCTGGCTACACATAGAATATCCAATTGGCGCCACCTAGCGAAAAGAGGAAACGACTGGCGCGCTGTTGTTAACTCGAAGAAGAAGAAGATTTGGGGTCCAATTCACCTAGACCGAGACCGCGAATTAGAACTCAACCCTTCGTTACTGAAAAGCTTATGCACATGCCTGGAAATATCGATGTTGACTTTTTTCACGAAAATTTGTGACAATAAACGTTGCGTGTCCTTAAGAAGTCTGATTATCTCAAGAATTTGCAAAATCCAGCCATTCAGTATCATTCGGACTGCACGTTTCTTACCTCTAAATAACTCGCTGAACCTGTTTTAAGACCATATTGTAGACGCCGCTGTTGACTGTCTAAAAAAAAGCCTTATAGTTTTGTCCTGTTTCGAAAATTATTTTTGTTGGTAATTGAACAAGCGCTAAAGCAAAAGTTTCATGTTCTCCTCAATACCTAATATATTTATATCGGAATACCTTTCGTAAGTGGTTAGAAAGCTTAATTTATTACACAGATGACCATACGTGGAAGGATAAGGGTTAGCGATGCGTTAAGTTTGACGTCCAATAGCAGAAAAGTATTATTGCTCATTCGCTATGTCTAAAGAAAGAACGGGAATGTAATAACAAAAAGGAATGTGGGTTAAAACCATATCACTGCTAAGCTTGCAATTAAGGAGTGCCGCATTGAATATAGAAATGAAAAGTTGTAATAATACTAAGAAGTTTKCCGCATACATTATTATTATTTATTTTTTTAATAAAACTGCTATTCTTTCGGGTTACACGCGATCTACGACGTCGTGCTTCTGGCTTTTTCCATGGACGAAACCTAAACACCAGAGCCCAACCGGGACATAATATTCTTGCAATGACCAACGGTAAAATTTAAGTTTTTTATCAGAGCCGAATACGCAGAAAACATCTGATAGTGAACGGATCCTTTGTCTCCGAGTAATAATCCAAGCAAATTAGAACAAGTTTATAAAAAATATTGATTTGCAGAGAATGAGTATAAAAATAAACTCATTAAAGTCATTGAATTGTGCGGCTTCATTTTACAAAGCTGTAACTTGTTCAGTTTTTCCAAAACACAGATAGACATTTGCTTTGAAGTGCTTCGTTCGCGAACTTACAATATCAGCTTGCGCACAGCCTCAATAATTTCCGGAACAACAACTGATTTTGGATGACTTTCCCGGAATTTGCTTTGAAGTGATATACGGCTTGGATTAAATTCACCATACCATCGCTAAACACAGGTTCTTGATAAAGCTTCAATACCAAAAATTTTAAGATTTTATTAAATTCACCGATGCACTGTTGCAGAGTTAATCCACGTCGAAAGTTAAAAATCGCACGCAAAAATATGCGCAATTTATTCCCATTTTTGGTCAAGAAGAATATTTTAAGTTACTGTAAAACACACATATCCGTTTATCAAATAATTCCAGTTTACAAGGTATACCATTAATAATGTCAAACTTTATAACAAAATTGTGAGCTTTCAGATTGCTAGAATTGCCAAAACCYGAAAAATAAAAATCACCCTTCGTAATGCTCCTTTTAAATATATAGTCTATCGATATATGAAAAACGATCAATAATTGTTTCATATTTTACACTTGATGTGCTCCTTAATTAATTTTTATCTCAATCTTGATATAAATCGCACCTCCATCAGAAACAAGAATTAAATTACAAATTCAGTTTCCTTATAATCTCATTAATTAAGTTAGCTAGCCAACAATATATGCAGATCTTCTCAATTATCCCCCGCCAACACTTTATAACAAGTATCACATTGCCCTCTATCCACTCTACATGCAAATATCTAGCGTAGCGTGCAAAATGTCGATCAAACAGCCTACAACAGTAACAATATTTGTGCATACATTGCAAATCATATACCAACAACAAGCAGCATTCGCCCCAGTCGAAATGGCAACATTGAACTTCAATTCTATATGAATATCAACAACAATTTTAGACAACTACCCTTTACCTTAAGAAAGCAGTGTGAAAAATACACACCCAAACACCCAAGCATCATATGCAAATGGCTTTTGGCGACGCCCATTTTATGCAATTGACTTGCAGCTGAGTGGTAAAAATGTTAAATTCACACACTTAATATAATATTCAAATCAAGATGTAACTTTGTATTTGTGTGCAATAGATTTTGTATAAAACCTCGAGCGCCCTTTGGATAAGTTATCAAACAGTCTTTACTTTCGTATTAAGTTACAAGTGTTCGCTATCGCAACAAATCCAAACGCAAAAATGTTCAACCTTCACAAAGTGGTAAGGAGAGCACAAGCCTTGCTGGCAGCGCTCATGGCCTAAAGGATATCTACTAATTATATTTTTCTGTAGCTCATCGTGTTCGCCGCCTTGGTGTGCATCGCTGCTGCCTACCCAAGCATCATAGGACCAGCCATCGTCCCCTCTATTGGAACAGGTCTTGTTGTAGGAGCTGTCGGACCAGTCGGCCCAATCGTAGGTCTGGGTCATGGTGGCATTATTGGACACCCTCGTTTAATTGGTTAAATAACTACTTCTAAACAATACTAATTGGACTGCCAACATTCCCCACTGGACAACTCCCTTTACGCTCCTGCTCATCGTTATTTTTTCACACCCCACATCACTTATGGATCAACTAATGTTAGGAATTTCGCAACTTTAGCATATCTTTGTGTCTCGTTCGCAGCATTGTTGCATACTCCTTTATCAACCATCAATAATATTTTTTTAAATTGTGTTTTTTATTTTAAAATGATTTGAATAAATATGCAATAAACCAAAAAAAAGTGTTAAATATTTTATTAGCCATATCCTACTCTTGGCTAATAATATAAATTGATAGGAAATGCAACGTTTACTTTTATTTCAGAAAGACTCTTTCCTCTTTTTTTTTCTTACAACATTTTTAGCTTAAGTTAGGTTAGGTTAGATGACTGATATAGAGAGATTGCATAAATAGTGAGCTCCTGTGGTTAAAATTTTAAATTTAATAAAGACTTAGTAGCCAATACATAGGCGTTTTGATTTTAGTTTTCGCCAGTTCGGTGGGTCTGAAGTCATCCGTTCCAAAGTGTTTAAGTATGGGCATGTACCGGTAGCCCAGCGCTGGCCAAGCTCCCGCGAAGCTCAGCTATCAACTAGTACAACACAGGAAGATACGGAAGCTAACTCGTCAGCTTTACAATTTCCTTTGCAACTGGGATCCCTTAAAGGGCGATACCAGTGTGACCATTTAAAAAAAAAAATTTTTTTTTGCTTTTTCGATAGCTTGTATGTTCTTGTGAAATCGCGAAGGTCGTATCTTGAATAGTTTTCGGATTACAGCGTTCTAAAGAGCGACCGCTCGGAGGTATAATCATATATGAGTGAAACTTTAAACGCGTTTTTCGACATTTTTCAAAATTGCTGACATCATAACTCAACGTGAAATTGACCGCTCGACTTCAAATTAGAACTGGGCATAGTTGAATACATTTCCTATACAATAGACTACGATCTTTTGGACTGGTTGAAAATTGTCAATTTGGAATTAAAAAACGAACATTTTTTTCGTAAAACAACGATATTTTTTTTTCAAAATTACGGCATTTTCTTTATATTTGACTAGCTGACCCCGCAGTCATTGTCCTGCGTAAAATTAAATTATGTGTTTTGAAATGAAAATAAAGTTGAATTTATCATTTCATTTTYTTTTTTTTTTTTTTCAATGTAACGTTGCTTGATAAACCACATTTTTTGGTTTCTGTTTCGGTGTACAAAAAAGATGGTTTTTAAACTCGTGAGCACGCCACGTATATCTGGCCGTGTGAAAAACATAGCACTTCCAAACTTGGCAAACCAAGTTGTGTCCTGTTGATCGTCATCTCAAAAGCATCTCAAAAGCAATGAGTTTATCTTTCGTTGGAGGCGAATGGAATTGATATCAAACCACCGGAAGTGTCAACCGGAATTGACCCATTTTCAATTTTTAGCAAAGACGATGTAAAATATCTTTGGCAATGTAATTTTTGTTCGCTGGCTTACTTCTCCAAAACTTGCACACACCGTACCATTCACAGTTCGTAATGACTCAAATGAAGTTGAACCGCGAAGATTAATCGAAGGTAGAAACCATCGTCATTTTACGGGTGTATTGTATAAATTCGTCCTAAGGAATTAGTTGAGAACACACCTGGATGTCAATCTACTCGTTTGCCCTCCTTCCTGCGTAAATATTTCATCGACGATGCATTCCATGTATGTCAAGATATTTCCAAATAGAGCAATGTTCTCGCAAACGGATCATTGGCGAAAGTTGAGAAAAAAAGTCGTAAATGTTAATTTTGTTGCTGGTGGTGTTTTCATTGGCTATACTGTATTCTCTGAGTTGGAGTATACTACACTCTTTGGCCATTCCCCAAATTAACTGCGAGACGCACAACGGTCGGAAAACGTTCATGAATTGCAAAAGTAAATATCCTAGAAAGCGCTTTATTGCAGATCTCCTCTCGTTCAAGACCAATAACCGCTATGTTGCTTCCTTTAGTGACGTGCTTACAAATGTATTTTATCGATTACATCAAACTGCAATACTCAACATTAACATGAGTTTTGAATGTGAATTTCTTGGTGAATATAGTACGATCCATGAGTTGTCAACTTCGATATTCATTCTTCTGAATTAAACGCCATTTTCGTCTTTTGAGCTACGCCGACAGAATGGATATCCATCATTTCCAGTTTGCGTTTCCGAAAGAAAAGCACGTGGTTTGTGTTTCGTGCACTTATTGTCAGACATACAAATCGAAGTGGGAATGTAATGTTCGAAAGGTCCATGAATCATATTGGTTTTCACCACTTCGAATAATACTGGATCTTTCTCTGCATCAGTAATTTCCGCAGAAATGATTTCATCAATTTGATCTGGTGTAACCACCATCCAAAGAAGAATGTGTACGTACGGCAAACCTCTCTTTTGCCACTCAACAGAGTACATCTAGCATCCAACAGCACCATCAAACATCATTGTTTGAAAAGTTGTGCTATGACATTGGGACGATCGATTGTTGATGGACCGCGACCCATAATTCCGCACGTATGTCATCGCATCCTGGGAGTGCTTCTGCTTTGCCTTGGGCTGTCATACGTTGCTCGCAAAAGAGAACGCCGACCGATATTAGGGCGACCTATTCGTGGCTTCGTAACAAATTTCAATCTGCAATTGATCACTTTGCGTGAAACACACATATGTAAAGTTTTCAGTGAATAATTTTCAATAATTTTTCTTTTGAATAGCTGGAATAATAAAGCAAGCGAACGAAATTGAACGATTCAAATAATTCACAAATCAAAATATTGAAAAACAAAACAAACAAAAATTTAAAAAAAAATGTGTATGGAAAAGAGTTCCTTTTTGGAACTATCCAATTTTCCGACTTTTCGTCATGAAAAGCATAAAGTATTTTTGTTTTTAAACCTTCCCCAATCGACAGCGAATAACCTCTGAAAGGCTCATTAAGTTTGGTGGAGCCGTTCTCTTAGCGGGGGCTATTTTTAGGGGTTTCCCGGAAATTATGCGAAATTTTCTTGCCGTAAAAATCATCCTTGAACCTCAGCAGCCACATTAAAAAAAGAATTATCAAATTTAGTTCAGTCGTGTGAAAGTTATGAGCATACATACATTTTGGCGATTCATTCTTATTTATATACATACATATGTATGTACATAGATATTTTTCAAAGATCGAAGTTCACTATACAGAAAATATATTTAAGTTTAATAAACATTTTGAATTTTTTTTGTTTCAGCCACTCATTCGACCGGAATCAAGCCAGCAGTTTGGGCACTTTTTTTTCAGCACTTCCGCTGACAGCGCATAACTCCGTTACTTTCCAATATTTTTGTAAAAAAAAAAAAAAAAAATTAATACAACTAAAAATATACTTAATTACGTCCATAGAACGTCGAAGCATTCAATCTATTACTTTCTTTCTTTTAAAAAAATTCACGAAAATCGCCTAATTCTTCATGCGTCACACTGTTATAGCCCCTTAAGCGAGGATCATAGCGTTCGGCCTAGCGTAATGTTTGCTAAATCTGCTGTTTCGCTTGAGAAAGAGGAGAAAGAGGGTTAAGAGAGTTAAGCTTTTTGGAACCCTAGAGGTTCTTTGTTAGCAACTTGATTTGTAAGCGGCGCAATTGGCAAACTAGTTGCAATTTCCTCAATCGTAGAGTCTATTGCCGCAGTTGTGAGGTTGGCAGAATGGGGACACAAAAAGTTACTGTACCAAACAGCGTTCGATTGAACGAACCGAACCGAAACACCACATTCCAATTTGCTCCTTTTTATCGTAAGATTTTTCTCACTATGACGTTGGAAAGCTTGCGGAAGGTGGCTTCATTCATCTTTTTCTGAAGTGGATGCAATTCATACATCACGAGACAAACAAACACAAAGTTTAAACCACGAGTATCTTCATAAATGAGCCTTTGGAATTTCTGTGCTTCATTACGTAGACCAAGGATCATGTGTGATACTCAGTCAAATTTGTGAATATGAAAATAAATGCCGACAGCGTTTGAGAAAAAGATCGTAAATATCTGCAATGATTTCAGCCTTCGCCTAGACCGAAACTTAAACACAACATCTCATGAGAATATATTGTCCGTACAACGATACACGGTCGAAAAAAGAAAAAACAAATTGACAAAATGGCGGTGTTTGAACAGGGAGTGAATATCTCACAAAATTACGATTTTGATTGGACCAGGAAACTAACAGGTGATAAATAAAGAATTATTTACGGAAAACACAGAAAAAAATTATCTCTGAGTAATCATCCAAGAAAATATGAAAAATGCTGTGTCGAGAAAAATGTTTTAAAGATAAGCCGATTAAAGTGTTTGAACTCAGTGGTTACATTTTATAAAGGCCACTCTAATAGGTATTAATTTTTTATTCTAAAATTTTATATCTTAACTTAAGGCGTACTATATAAACTATCGAAATAATCACTTTTTTTTTAGATATTTCACAATGGATGATTAATCCTTATCTGTATCTTGATATACATTACATGACCACTAGAAACTGAGACTAAAAATTAAAAATTTAATCTTCTAATAATCTCTTTATCTAAATAACCTAGACAACAATGCACGCAAGTCTTCTCAATAATCCTCAACCAGCACTCAATAATGCGTATCACATTACCCTCTATCTACTCTACTTACAAGTGTCCAATGTAGCGTGAAAAATGTCAATCAAACATCCCACAACAATAACAACATTTGTAGAGACATACTAATTTTTAAAAATAATATATCAACAACAAGCAAAAATCATGCCAGTTGACAACATTGAACTTCAATTCTAAACGACAACCAATAACAATTTTAGACCACTACATTGTAGCTTAAGAAAGCAGTGTGGCCAATACACACCCAAACACCTTCGGCGGCACGCAGTTAATGCAATTGACGTGCAGCTGAGTGGTAAAAATTGAAAGTGCACACACCGATTCGATATTCAAATAAGATTGTGGTGACAAAGATTTTGTATATAAACTCAAGCGCTGTTTGAAAAAGTTATCAAACAGTCTTTACTTTTGCACAACAAACTCAACCACAAAAATGTTCAACCTTTTCAAAGTGGTAAGGATACGAACCTTGCAAGCAGCCTGCTTTGACTTAAAGGATATTTACTAATTATATTTTTCTGCAGCTCGTTGTGATCGCCGCCTTGGTGTGCATCGCTACTGCCAATCCAAGCATCGTGGGGCCAGGCATCGTGGGACCAGGCATC